AGTTCTGAACATTTAAAGGGAAATCCTCAATGTCAGCTAATGCGGTGCTGCCTCCTGATGTCTGCAGAGTCTCCGAGCCTCAGAGCTATTCCACAGGTGAGTTTCGAACATTGATTATTTCCTAATTAACCCCAAGGGCTGCCTCACCTCTCCCCAGCTGCCAGGCTTACAGCTGCTCCTGCTGAGATGGAGGTCACCGGGGAAAACTAAGGGGGTGACAAGTCTCGAGTAGCACCAGTAGGTTGGTAAAGCCACCTGGATCAGAGCGGGATACAGATAGTCAGGGCTCCGCGCCACCAAGGCTTACTGAAGCTCTACCAGGATAAGACGGAAGCGTTCATCTTACAGAGAGACAAATCCATCTCCCGTGGGATTTCCCGGGGAATGTCCCTCAGGCTCTGCGATCCCCAGCCCGAGCTGTGGATCCACGTCCTCCCCACAGGCAGCAGAGCGCAGAACGGCCCACGGGGGCTGGCAGCGGCTCGGCCCTCCTGCCCGCAGGGTGGCATCCGCGGCCCCGCTCCCTTTGGCAGCCAGTGGCGGGCCAGCGAGGGCGGTGGTTTTTTCAAGCCACCTGTGGCAGGTGGCATCTGTCTGCCGTGGCATGGCAAGAGTCACTCGAGGAAGCTGGGAGTGCTGGGGTGGAGATGGTATGTAGCCAACAAAGGAGGCAAAGCTGAAGGAAGGCAGTGCTCAAAGAGCAGTTTGGAGGTGTCTTGGTTTCATTTATTCTTCCTTTTAGACATACACGGAAGTCGGGACTCCACGCGTTTAAACTGATTTCTAATACTGTTTGGATTTTCATTCCCGTCACCAAAGAACCTGTGCTGCTACCCCGAAGCACACCTTGGCACGCAATTCATGGCTACCCAGCTCGGCAGCACTCTGCTGCAAAGGCCACCTGCTCTCAGCTCTGGCCAGCCAGACTGCGCTTCCCTCACTTGCCCAGGGCATCGGGGATAGGCAGCAACGCCTGGGCGCACGGCCCTGCTGCTGCCCGACCCGCGGGCAGGGGCAGGACCTGCAGGTGCTGGGGCGAAGCGGGAGTCTGGGGCAGGCACCACCTGGAGGCACTGGCGTCAGGCACAGGAGTGAGGGACAGGGCATTTGTGCTTGTGGGAAAAGGTACAGAAGAAAAGGGTGTGATACTGGGATCCCGGCTAGAGAAAAGAAGAGATGTAGGGGAAAGCAGCTGTTGCTGAGGGAGACCAGTTTTGAGATGTTTGATAGCCACCTCCTTCCACCATGCCAGTTTGCTCGTGATTTTCATAGGAGTGTACCACAACGCCACGCTCCCCGAGTCACCCACTGCTCATACGCTCCCTTTCTGACTGACAACAAACAGAAAGCCCCATGAGCTTGGCTTGGATGGCATCGCCGTGCTGCTTACGCCGCAGCAATCCCATGGGTGGGATGAAATTTTGAGCCTCGTGTCAGTTGTGCTTCTCACCTCTGGTACAATTTACCTCAATCACACACCTGCCCCTACCATTAAAAAGAATGCTGTAGTAAAATACTAATCAATTAAGTCCTCAATAGTAAATGAAACCTGTGAATTTTAAACATAGTCTTGAAATTACTGTGCCTTGTCTGTATATATGACTTATAATTATTTACAGAATTGACTATTTTGGCATCTAGCCCCTAAGATACTCAGCAACAAGCAACCACCTCATTTCATTAATTGTGATTATCCAAAACCGTATCCCTCCATTGCCACACTGACTGCAAAATCCCTTTCTTACGCTTGTCCTGACAGAGCTTCAGTGGGCTGCAGAGCCACCAGCAGCCTCCTGCCCTTATCTGAAACCTCTCACGTTCATGGAAGGAGTAGCGTGTTTCAGGCTTGGGTCAACTGATTTAACAAGTGCAAAAAAAAACTCTCCAGTCCTTAAAAAATTTTTTATTGCTCAGAGAGACAGATAGGAGAGTTTGAAATGCCATGTGATTAAATAAAACATTTAGAAACTTGAGAGACACTCATCACATGAAAGACACATTGTACCTGCATATTAATTTTTAAAAAAGGAAAAACATTAAGTTGGAAATACAATCACAAGAGCTATTTCTTGAACAAATATCAAGCAACAGAGGAACAAAGAGCAGTCAACCTGTTTCAAGTGCTCACTGGACAGCAAGAATGAAGAAAAGCTTCTATGAATTCCTGGAGCTTTTGACTCCTGTAATTATTTCCTAAATCATGTAGAGTGCCTATGTTAGCTATATTAACATTTTAGATAAATGACCTGGAAAAATAAACCACAACAGAGTAGTGTGTGCACTGAGGAGAAAGACGGGACCAAGCAACTGAACTGTTCTGACAGAACATTTTTAGATTAATTTATCATTTATCTGTAACGAGTTGCCGTTAGCAGTAGTTCTTGCAAATTGCAAGGTCATTAAAGCTTTCACATGCCCTTCTGAGCAGCAGATAATTAAGGGCATATCTAAAGCAAACTCAAAGCATGATTTTTGCATGGAAAGGTGTACCTGGTCAGCAAAAGCATTGAGAATAGGGTAGAGAGTGAGAGCCCACATGCTGAAACGTCTCCATTTCTGCTGGTACCGGACTAACTAAATTAAAACTACACACAGCTGTGTCTACAGATGGCACAATCATTTCACTTGCAGATATTCCTTGGATTAGCCAGGTCTGGTTACTACTTTTTGAGTTATTCTGACTGAAGTCGGTCATAAACCAGACCATTCTGGAGGAGGTATGTTTGAAGTGTGGTTCTGTTCCCTAGAATAACTTCGTGACTATGGACACATCATCAGAATCTGCACAGAGAAGAAGCCTATTACCGTTGACAACGATGCATACTTACATTGCTGGAAAGTGACAGTAAGAAATGTGTATTAGGGCAATTCATTAGGGCCATACTTGCTCACTGATGGATCACAGCAACTTTCTACGCCCCTTTAGTCACATCAGTCCTCTTGAATAAATATGGTCACATGAGAGAGATTGTATTTCCTCTTGTACATTGATATTTCAGTAGGACTTGCAAGATCTGGAAAGTTTAGTTGTTTAGTTAATCTAGGCTTGCATCATGCAAGCCTAACTTTGCCTTGCAAGTGTCCTACTGCAGACCATTTCTCAGAGGGCTCCTTAGCTTAGTTTACAGGTTTGGCACTTGGTACATCACTGACAGGCAATATGACAGAAACCTCACAACTAGTGAAGTCATACAGTCATGGTACTCAGCAGCAATAAGATTTTTGGCTGTTTTAACAGATACAGAACCTAATGGACACTTTAATTACTACATTCACTGTAAAGGTAACAACCTCAGTTTTATTTATACTGGACATTTCACTCTGTTGGAAGTTTTGTATTCACACCTTTTTTGAGGCATAGTGTGCACCAACAAACTAAGAATTGTGCACAGAAGTAGACCGAAGTAAGGAAAGCATGACATGGAAATATGAAAATCAACTCTTCAGTTATCTACCTTGTTATATAGCCTTAGTGGCAGGCACACATTCTATCAGTTAATAGCAACTATATTGGACGAGCAAGCTACAGAGGTTTTACAACACCAAAAGCAAATGCATTAGAGCAACAGTGACCCCGAGATTTATGTCCATGTTACCATAAGTTTAATATCATTGTATGATACGATATGATATGATATCAACATGAGAACATGTTCCTCTTTGTGAAGCCAAGAAACACCTGAAATGCAATGCTGCTTCAACCCAGGTAAGCATGTCTGCATTCAAAATCTGCTAGGTCCAACTAATCACGTCCTCAGTCTCTGTTTTGGAATAAGCACGCTAACCTTGACTTACATTTTTATGGTGTTTTTGCTGGTGAAAATCCCTTGTTGAATCATCTAAAGACAAGTAACAGCTATAAAACCAGAAAACACTATTCATGTTTAATCATTTACTGAAAAATGTAGTTTTAAAAAAGTAGGGAGACTTTTCAGGGATACAAATGGGAGGTAGAAGCCTCACTTTAAGGTGTTTTGAAGGCCATTCTTAATATCCCTTAATACTTAATAAGTGGCACTTGATTAATTATTAACCTGTCTAAATTCCAAAAATATGATGACAGTAAAATGATTATGGTCTCTGTGTTATATCTAAAGATAATAAAGCCAGAAAATTAGAGAGACAGAGGTACACAAGCATATATAGGCACCTGTGAAAACACTTCTAAAAAGATAAGAATAAGTGCTTCTATTTCACTTGTGCAGAAACAGCACAGAAGAATTACTGTATTTCCCTCCACATCTTGCATCAGATGACAGAAAATCAGGAACGAACACCAAATACCTATAACCTCTCCTCTGCCTGTTTTTCTGCATCACTGTAACACTACTGTATCTCAAACACAAGGAAACTCTGTCATGTATAGTCCACACCCAAGAAAAACAATGACAAACTTCAGGAGAAGAGACAAAAGCATACAATACTATGACACAATAAAGAAAAGTTAAAATTTCAAGTTGGAGTTGCTGTAAATAAGTGATCTTTAAATAGTCCTCTTGAAATATTAATTTAATTCAGAACAAGTCCTGTGCTGTGTAAAACTGGAAATATGTTTGCTAAACATTATAACTCAAAACAAATTGCCAAAAAAAAAGAGAAAAAGATTTAAGGGATTTTCAGAAAACTTAAGAGTCAAGAACCTCTCCTGCCAACTGGAATGCTCAAATTTTTGCCTCAAAGTGAGTAGTCCATATCTTAGCAAAAGCTACTAAACAATTTTTATCTTATTCTAATAATAACAACAGCAAGTTTACTTCTGTCTTATTTTCATGTACGTTTCCTTTTAAAGGCCTATGGCTTAGTGTTCACAAATTAAAAAATACTTGTAAATACATAAAAATAAAGCTTAATAGCACACAATATAAAAAATTATAAATTTCAAAACCATTACATTATTATTATTGAAAAGTGCACTACAATTAATCTGTAGGTCAGAGATGCTTTGATCACGGACATCATTTCCATGATTAACTACTGAACAAAGTTTTTCATCTTCTTAATTAAATGAGAAATCTTTCATCCACCAAGGTTTTGGATGCCAAATTCTTCTGCCCAAGTGTATTACGAATAAACCTAAATATCTAAGAACATTTTAGAAAAAATGTGTTAACAAACAAATACTTAAAACAGTATGTTTCAGTACCTAACATAAAATAATAACTTCATATTATCTTTAAATCATAAATAACATGAGTGAATTAGGTGCTTATCTCCCTTTAGCATTTTTGAAATCTTTTCTGATATCTTTCCACCATGAACTATCATGTGTGATTCATTTTAACTGATATTTGCGTTTTCTATTGAAAGTTATTTGTAGCCTCTTTATTCATGACAGGCATGTGAATAAAATTAATTTCTCACAAGCCTATTTGACAAAAAAATCAAAGAACTATTTTATAAGCTCTCAGTATAATCTTCTGTCACCACAAACTGCTAACTTACTGCTTTAATTATCTAGTTAACTATATAAACTTCCATACTGACCCACTTTTTTAAAATATTACTTTGTTCTTAAATTAAAATTTACCTCTTGTTGCAAATATGTTAGAATAGCAGCTAAAACAAAACTTTGGGAAGCCAGATCCACAATGGAGAAAAACAGGATATCAAAGATAAGCAGTGTTGTCTCATTGCCGTAATACAGAACTGAAAGAGTTTCATCTACAGAAAGAAAATAATTTTTGAAAAATAAAGTGCAAGTTTGTGGAGTTCATCAGTCCACGCTGAGAAAGCTGATAAGAAAAAGGAAAGTCAGAGCAAGAGCTAGTTACGGCATTCTATGGCATCATAAGAGCTAGTTATGTCATTCTATTTAAGCAAAATAATACAAAACTTTTCACTTATAAATTGGCTTAACACCAATGGAACACAATAGAAAAAGCCCACGTGCCACACGCAACTTTATTCACTCTTGAAATCTCAATCGGATCATTTAAAAAAGGCTGCTTTGAACAAGAAGCAGATGTAACGCCCTTGTCACTGAAATTTTTAGCAAGTGTTAACTCTGGACCCAACTCAACAAAACAATAAAAACATATGCTTAAAGCGTTACTTAGGCGGAGGTTCGGGGCTTAACATTATCTTTGTTCATTGGTTAACAGTTTCCCAGAAAATGCATCCTTTAAGCTTAAAATACCTTTTTCATAGCCAAAGTAGTCTAGACCACTTATCCACTTCTTTATTTTATCAAAAAGCACCACTTTCAAAAGAGAAAAGAACATCTAAAATAAACATTTACAGAAAATAAATTCTTTTCCCTCTTTCTACTTTTTCAGAAAAATGTCTAATGCAAGTTTTATTAGAAACAGCATATTTTCATTACAAATTGTATATGTCCTACTGCCATGAAATCCTGATTTGTATCTAAACTTCTGGGAACCATGGCAGTCTAAACCATCAAACAATATATTTATATCAATGCTTACGATTATAAACTTTGAAACAATGGCAGCCAAAAGACCAAACCTTTGTTGAATACTGCACAATTTGGAGGCATCACATCATGCTTATACACTTAATTCTAACTCAGACATTGCATGCCTGACAATATTTATGGCTGAGTAGACCTGGGGTTTAGAATAGGGTTTTGGAATGACTGATATTGCAAGGTGTGGAATCACAGACTGAGGCTGAAGAAAGTCCTAGTTATAGTTTTAAGGCAGATACTGGCTATCTGGCAACGTTTATTACTAAAGATAGAGCTTCACCATGACAAGGGAGGAGAGCCCCAGCCTTTAATGAACTAGGTGTAGCTCAGACATCTAGACTGAGCAAAAATATCAGACTACAATCATGGCTAGTTTGAAAGCATGTGCTGCATTCCTGATTATATAGCAAGGTTTGAGATTCAAATTAGGCTTCAGCTTTTGCAGTCCTGGTGTCATAGAGCAGGAAAACTCTGCACAGCTCAGTGATGTAATTTGTGGATTGTTATTATAGAAGAATAATGACATGTTTAGAATGTGTTATGGTCATCTGGTAATATCCATGGATTGGATTATGGTTCTGATAAGGTTTAGAGTTTCTGAACAGTGAGGCTGGAGAGCCAAGTACTTGAGGGACTTAAAATGAGGGCTTGTGTCATCTGGGATCACTAGTTAATTTTTAGTTTTCATGCAGGTGATGGCTGTACTTATGGTGAGGGGTAGAATCAGGGTCTGAACTAAGGTTTTTCATAGATAATTTTTGGTGGATTCTGTACAGCTCAGGGACTGAGGAAGCAGACTGGTATCAGGCCTAAGTTCACAGCTCATATTTCATTGCAGTGTGGATACTGGTCCCCAGACCACATCTGATAATAGGAGGAGACCAGGACTCAGGGTTTCAGAACCTTGGAAGTGGAGGCAATGGAGGGCGTAACACTGGATGAGGATTCCAGTGATGCATTATGAATAGGTTAAGGTTTTTAGAGCATTGGTGTTTGACAGCGTCAAGCTTCCAGGGATTCCGTTTTAGGAACCTAGGTTGAAGGTTGAGATATGGTCAAGAACTTTCACTAAATCTATTTTTAACACATGTACTGGTCACTTGGAAATATTTATGGCTAGGTTTAGCATGGGCTTGGGATTCAGGACGATGCATTGGAGAACCCAAGTCTGACCAATTTTGCATAGCTCCAGGGACCAGAATCAGAACTGGTGTCATCCCTGTTTCTGCTGGAAAACTCATTTTTGCTGTAGGTATTGGCAATGCTTAAAAAGCTTCAAAATAAAATATTCAAGAACCCAAATTACTTAGTGGAGCCTCCAAAGATGAGTGGTGGATTAACATCAAGTATTCCACTAAAACGTCCTCACTGTGATCAATATCCTCTTTAAAGAAATTGTCTCTGTACTTTTAGTTGTTTCATAAGAAGTTTGGTTCTATATTGAAAAATAAAAAAAGGATGGAGCTATTTAAATATTGTGGGTCGTCTTTGCATTTACAAAGATCTATATAGCAAATCAAAGGAGCACTTCGTAAACACATGCACGTCTCTACACAGTATCCTTTCAGTTGCCTAAAAGAAAAAACATTGCAGTTGAGTGACAAATTATAAATAGGATTTCTGTAATCTGAAGAACATCCCTTAAATACCTCCCTCACAAGCAGTCATTTAATGACTTCTCCTGCTGTAAAGTCCAGTTTAGAGTGTAAATCCTGGGAAAGAAATCTACACAGAAACCTACATACTTATAATAGTACAAGTACCAAGTCACAAATCTTTTTACCATTGTAAAAAATACTTTTGTCTATTGGTTCCATGAACTCCATGCCAAGAATCCGTTCAAGCAGCAACTTATCTTTAACAATATAATCCATTTCTTTATGAACCTATAAGAAAAGGAAAAACAATACTTCCTGTTTTATGATTTCGAAGAAGTACTTGTTACAAAGTGAAGTACAGCTACTTAGACCTTTATGAATGAAAAAAAGCACTGGTCTATTCCAAGACAAAAATAAGTACATAACAAAAAAGGATTTGTCATTTTTAAGAGCAGGCTGCACTGTTGGACAGTACTCCAATTTTTTTTTTTAATGAAGCACTATTCCAGTTGCCATAAAGTCTTTAACAACAAGTCTTTAAGCACATATGCTTAAAGAGAAATTACAGTCTTTCAGATTTACAATTTTTAGTTTCTACTTACTATAGTTATATTTTCCTTAATATAGTAATGTCAATATACATACGTGATCAATGAAAGAACTGAGAAATTTGTTCATGGTGTTGTATGCCCTTGTGCTTTGTTCAAAAGTATTTGCAGATGAGTCCAAAAGCCTAGCAGGACCACGTTTCTGAAAGATAACATGACCATGACTTCAGCAGAAAAATTACATATTTTAAATAACATTTACAGAACACAAATATCTCACTTACTCTTGTTAGGGTTTCATGAATCCTGTCATAGTGCCGTCGCATTGTTCTTGAAATGGAAATCTGAAATGTCTGGCCATCAGTGTTCGGTAACAAACCTCTCTGACTACACAGATTTTCCTATACAATTAAAGCAATTGTAAATTAACATTATTAATGCCCAAAAGCTTTTCATTTACTCTCTTTCATGTTTACATAGTCCTTAATATCTGTAAATATTTGAATCCACTGCACTCTTGGTTCTATTATAGCAAGATTTTCTTAGGACATGAAATCCTGACCCCTGCTGTCACAAAGACATACTCCTCTTTTCACCTGTGTTCAGTTCATTACCTTCTAATACATCTTTTGACATTCATTCTGAAGCCCTTTCTTTTATGTTTATCATTTATTCTATACTTGTCCTGCTTTTTTCGTGCTTTGGATTCCTTACTTTTTCCATATGTTTTTCAGGTCACATTTAATAAACCTCAAAAACCCCAAGAAAATGGAAAATTCAGCATCTCCATAGGGAAAAAAACCTGCTTTTTCCAAAATTATATTAAAATAAACCATTAGGAAAAAATTACAGGAACACACAAGTCAAAAATATTACTAAAAAGAATCCTCTACGTTTCAATGTTTGAGATTTAATTTTCACATGGTTATGGTTTTTTCTGTCCAGTTATCATTGAAATAGCAATATCCTTTGTCTAAGGTACTGTCTTCCTACTTGTCCCTATAAAGACGCAAGATGTCATGAAATTTAGTGCAAAGTGCTCCAATCTTGTATTAGACATTTTACATTTGCCTGATCTTACAGCCAAGATATAACATATGACAAACTAGAAAAAATACTTACTCAAATTCATTTCTGTAAATAATAGGTTACATCACCAGAGAAGAAGAGATGGAATAAAAGAATTTATTGGAAGACCAGATGTCTCTTTATTAGGAGTTTTCCAGATTTGTCTCTTTATGAAAGCTTCTGGGTATGCATCTTTTTGAATGTGGCCATGAGCTTACCAACAGCTGGTATCTTTTCAGTATCATAACTTGGTGCAATGATGTAATGCACAAGTGCAGATCCATAATGCAAAGGTGTGGGTTTTTTTTTATAAAATAAATATTGAGAGCAGGTGTAAACTTTACTGCTTTTACTTACTGCTTCTCTCTTTAGGTTCATATTCATTTCTTCCATATTGGTATCTGCATGTCCATGCACAGAGCGACCATGGATATAATAACCAAAGCAGCTGTGTGACAAGAGAAACACTGAAATCTAGAAGAGATGGGAGAAGAGAAGAATGCTTTAATTAAACATTATCATTTTATTTTTGAACTTTTGAATTCACAGTGGAGATCAGCAAGACCAGCCCTTCTACAAATACAAAGTAGGCAGGTACCAAAATAAATATTGCAGAAAAATATTTAATAACTCAATTACTGATTAGTTTTATTTATGTTTAACTAAATACACACACCAGCTTCAAGTTTAGTTTATCAACAGCAAGGATCAATACTTAATTCCACAGAGCCAAAAAATTAAAGGAAAGTTATTAGCTTTCATTTTGATTCAAAAGTTATTTCTGTGATATATAACACGTATGCATGTTTCCAGTTGAGCTCCTAGGAGACTGTATTTAATAGAATTTCATTCAGCATGATACAATGCTTATATATCACATAAGAATCAAAAATAACTCACTCTACAATCCATGCACTACATGGGTTTTTCACAGAAGAGGAATAACCAAGGCTGGAAAGGCTGATAAAAGGGGTTCATCTCTATATTTTTAAAAAGTTCTGGCCAAATGAGCTAATCCAACCTGTTCTGACTGCACTCTTCTTTGGTTAAAAAGGAATTCCTGCAGTACAAAGCTTCAAGACCCATATTTAAACTAGAAAAAGGGAAGTAGTTCAGATGTAAGTGAAAAAGCATAAAAAAGGTGATGATTGTCCAGGAGGGACAACCATGAAGTTCAGCGGTTGAGGGACAACACAAGACAGGAGCAGAAACTGAACATAAACGTATTGAATAAAACCAAGACAGCTGTGTCTGTAAGACAAAGGTACTAAAATGCAAACCAGTAGAAAGAATGGCAGCAAATGGTTCCACACCTAATTTCTGTCACAATTTTTTACTTTTTAATTCTGTAGGAGCATGTGTAACCAATTTAACTTTAAAAAAAAACAACCTAAAAATCACACATCTAGAAGAACATATTGATACCTATGATTCCAGAATCTTTTTCCAATTAAAGTTTAACTGAAATCTTCTTGTAGATTGCACCAATAAAATGAGCTGAAAGAAACATTGACTTTGGCTGTTAGCTAGTAATCTCTGATTAAATTAAATGAATAAATATAATTTAATATTCTTAAAACTATCGTGCATATTATTCTATTAAAAATGCCACTGTACAAATGAGACAAAGAAATACTTACATTGCTCATGCAACACAAATCAACAAATTGGCTTATCTTATCTTCAACAAATCTTTCATAAAACACAGAAAAAAATATAATCTGAAATAGATCAACCAAATTTTCTTTTATTAGTTCATCAGATTTGACTTTATTAAGCAATTTACTTCACAGTCTAACACCCACAAATTACAGACTTCTGTGGTGGCCACCATTGCATTGGGCTCTATGAAATGGGATTGACGTCCTTCCTCTAAGAAGCAAATTGTAGCAATGACCTGCTTTTCATTTTCAGCTTGGAGATGCTTCAAAGTTGTGTAAAACAAAACAAAGTAGTTGCATAAATTCACATCTTTGAGAGGATTAAAATTCTGACTACAAAGTAAGATGTCTCATAGCTCAGAAGTTTCATTTTGAGTTCTAAAGGTGTACCATCAAGCAAAACAGTTAAGAATATACCCAGTGCTATGATACGTAGTATGGATGGCCTAGTGATGTATTCTAGCTTCCAAGAACCAGCCTGAAAATGATAATTCAGTATGTCATGTGTTTCACATACCTGTAAGAAGGCAATGGCTAGCCAGAGTGCAGCAGACACACCAAATCTTAAAATGCGGCTCCAAGGAGCTATGTAACTCTCACTGCTTCTTGTAAGACTGGAAGAAGAATCCATTAAAGCCAGGTTTGAAAATCCCACCACCTGAAGAGGTAAGAAGGTCAATATAACAACATGAGGCAATGAACAGTATCAATTATGACCCTGTTGTTTCCATCATAACAGGAAGTAAGAAGAAAAAATTAGGAGAAATGGACCTGGGAATAGTAGCATGTTCACTATGATAGAGCCCAATTGTGTGATTCAGTGTTATTACTGAGAAACATAATTAAAACCATAAACTGTACATATATGTGTTGATACATAAATTCAAAAATGTACGCACCTAAATCTCACAACAAGTCAACACTGATTTTTATTGAGAAATTCCAAAAGATTGTGCTGTTAGACTGCATAGGGATATTATTTCTGCCAAATTCCAGCTTTTTGGTCCTATATATTCCAGTGTTAAAACAAATTTTTTATCTGTTTTGCAACTGCAAGAAACTGGGGTGGTTTTTTTTGTTTTTATTGAACAGAAATGTATTTCCCTCCACTGTCTTCATGGCTGAATCTATTTTAAACAAACAACCTCGAAAAACTTCCCAAATAAAAAAGATGAGAGAAACACTATGTCTTGAAACACTTAAGAGGTGAAAATTTTGTGAACATCATTCAGAACTGAAGCTGCACCAGAAACATATTTGGGGTGGGTTGATGCCCACCAAAGTGGGATGGGGAACAAGAAAAAAAAAAGGAAAACGACTTGTGGGTTAAGATAAAGAGAGTTTAATAAGCAAAGAAAAGGGAAAAATAAGGTGAAAAAACCCTATGACAAGTGATGCAAAGGCAATCACTGCCTCCCTCCCACAAGCAGACCAATGCCCAGTGTCCTGGTTTCAGCTGGGATAGAGTTAATTTTCTTCTTAGTACTGGTATAGTGCTGTGTTTTGGATTGAGGATGAGAATAATGTTGATAACACACTGATGTTTTGGTTCTTGCTGAGCAGAGTTTACACGAGTCAAGGACTTTTCAGCTTCCCATGCTCTGCCAGGTGCACAAGAAGCTAGGAGGGAGCACAGCCAGGACAGCTGACCCAGACTGGCCAAGGGGCTATTCCATACCATATGACATCATGCTCAGTATATGAGCTGGGGGAAGAAGAACGAAAGGGGT